TTAATTAAGACTTTAACTACTGAATTACTTGTGAAGTACTTAAATTTTGGTCTCTTTTTGGATTCTACCTGCGAACAATACACCAGAAATTAATTCTCATGTCTGGAAACACTTTTAGAAGTCAAAAAAAATCATCTTGCCGTAGACGTAGGGTTTGATAATTCTTTGAATAAGGCCAATCAAACAGCTAAAGTGAAACTTAATGTAAGGTTCCATGACAAGTGACATGTTCGGCATCCCCTTGGAGACTTAATTTCTTGAATTCTTCAAGCTAATTCTACATCAAAAACGTATATAAATCCCATGTTCTGAACGTTGTGAGATCCAAGTTAAGAAAGAAAAAGATGTGGGCCTGTACTTGTAGCCTGGCTTAATTACAGTAAATTTACCCCCGTTAAAACACATATATATAAAGTGTGATTTTAATAATCAATCTAATTTATCACGGTGATGAGAATTCGATTTTGATTTGTCTTTGAAAATGAAAGTCCACCAAGTTGATCTATCTAAAGAAAACATGTGGATCTAGATGGAAAGTGATTGATCAATTTGACTACCAATTTCTGAATAATGAAGAAGCATAGACCACGCAAAGTACTTTTTTGGAATATTTTTCCTTTGGAATACTTTTCCACCCTTTATTTCATTGATGTAATTTTTTTTTTATTTTTTTTGATGTAATTGAATATATATATATATATAGAGAGAGCACAGGAATTGAACGTGTAAACTTCAAAATTTAATTAAACTGACTCCTAGAATAAAAGGAACAGCTTGAGAACTAAATACAAAGTCAAATAAAATACAATAAAAAATAAGTTGCAACAGCAACGACAAAGTTCTTGTATATTGCAAAAATATATATGCTATATTTCATTAAATGTTTAAAATAAAATAAAATATTTATCTAAAATTATTTGGGACAATGATTTATGCTTGAGAGTTGTTACCAGCACATAATAACTCACTAGCATAGACATTTTCTTGTTGAAACCAAAATATTTCTAGTTTCTCAAGCCTGTTTAGAGCTTTTTGGCACGAAATTTTTTGTATTTCTGTACTATCATCCTCAGGATTATTTATTTTCTCCTTTTATCTAATTACAACAATGACTACTAAAACAATGAATTGAAATCCTAATACATACTACTAAAACGTGAATTATAAAATAAGAAATCAAAACAGTATTTTTTATAATTACTCCTCTATTAAGTTACAACATTCTTATAGTAATAAATTAGTTTGATCCTATCATTATGATTATAGAGAGATTTTACAGTATATAATCAAGTTCACAAGCCATATGTATAAAATTCTAGTGAAATTTATTTTCTCTTAATTTATGTATCTATATCCATATTAATTTTCATGAATCCGTATATGTTGACAGAGTAATTATGATGTACAGTGATTATTTTATTTCTACTTTCACATACCACTGAAAACCTGAGTTCCAACTATGTCCCCCTGATTGCATTAATTTTTAATTTCAATCAATTGCAATACACGTGATGACGTGAAGAAAAAACCAGGCAAAGATGTCCCCATAATTGACCTCTCTCCCATATAAATAGTGTCATTGTCTTTTATTTGTCTATTGTGAGGTTCATCAGAGAAATAATGACTCTCCAATATTCAGCAAATTAAGCTGCCTTTGCTTTCAAATTACTCTGTAAACTTGAATATGTAGGTGAATCTAGTTTAAATTTGATTTATGCATAAGTTTTTGCAGTAGATTTGATAAATATTTTCATTTTGCATGCTTGCATGCTTGCATTCAGCAACAAATAGTTATAAAGGTGAAAATGAACTGCGAGAAATGCAGATAAAAAGCCATGGAGATTGCTGCTATGGCAGATGGTTAGCTTTAATTACTATTAGGAAAACCTATGTCCTAATCCAATACTAATTTGGATTGAATTTGACTCCACAATCTCAACAATAAGTATTGCTTTGGTTATCTCTTTTTAAATGATCAGTATGTAATATCTACTATTTTCTTATTAATTGTTAGTGTTTCGGACGACACAATTCCAGGATTCGGATTTCTAGATGATATTTTCTCCTACTTGAACTTGATAGTAAGTAACCGTTCCTGCTATATGATCACTGGGTTAAACATTAAGCATGCAGTGCAAATTTGAAGTGTATTTGATGAACAATTTGATAATTTCAATCCTCCATATTCCATGCTGAAACTGAAACTTCTTCCAATAAATTATACGCCTTTTGGGGAAATAGTTGCCAATTGAAAACAGGGTCCCCTGTTTTCCTCTGTGAGTAATGCTAAATGCATAACCCAACTCACAATTTTCTTTCACAACCCTCGACATGATAGTTCATAATTTGTCAGTTCGCAAAATGGGTCTCGCCTGTTTTATGGGTCATGTATGTCCATTTGCGAGCTATCCAATGACGAGTTACCACGTCAGGGGTTATGAGAGAAGGTTGTAGACTTAACATTACTCTTTCCTCTGTTCCCTTTTAACAAAGGCCTCACAAATTTCTCGTTTCCACATCTTTCATTTAAATCGGTCAACATTTTTAAATTCATTGATTGTGGACTCAATGATGTAATGTTTTCACCGACTATTATTTGTATTGACAAGAAACATAGTGATGGTTAAAATTTCTACTAAAGAAAAACTAAAGGTTGCGTTTGTTTCATTTTTTCCAATCCTAACCTATCCAATTCTACCCAAAATACATATTTGTTTCAATATTCTCAAAATCAAATCCTATTTTATTCAATTCAAAATAATATTATACATTTGATTTGACAAGTTTTCTTCAACTTTATTATAATTTACCAAGTTCTCACTGGTACCGTCTATTGAGAGTTTTTTGTTTGATTATGTTATTGTTTGGTAAGTTATATCCAATTCCACTATGTCGTTCAAGAGATATTAAACTCTTCTCTTTCTCTTGGTATAGTTGTGCACTTTCCGTGGAAGCTTATTGGTAGCTACTTCCATTGAAACTTCATGAAAGTATAAGCCGTTTTTGGAACAAGTTCTGCCAACCAAAAACAAGTCCCCTATTTTACCATGTTTCCATGGATTTAGTTGGTTTTTTCTATGAAACTGCATCTACATAAAATAGTTTTGTAGCTAATTAAACAATTGTGAATAGTTCTATGGGAGTTTGACAGACATAAACCAAAACTGAGCCTAATAGCATACTTGATCTTTTCTAAGTAAATAATTAAGGACAAAATTGTATATAACAAAGCAATAAATACTGTTTTTAAGATTAAATTTTATGTTTAGCCAAGCTAAAAAAAATAATTAATTTTGCTTTTGTTAAAATTTTCGGGAAATATTTGATCCACTAATTAAAGTAGCAAACATTCTTGATATTATATTACTTTAATTAATTATTCAATAAAAGCTATGTCATCTCTTATTGTCTTTATCTAACTCGTGGGTCCATTCCAAACGTAAAGGATTTTGACTCATTTTCTTTTATAAATTTCTTATAGTTTATATGTCTTTCATGTGTAGATGTAAGCATTGTGCTCAACCACGTTAAATTATTGTCTCGTTTGCATAATTAGTGATTTATTCCACATTTTGCTAATTTTAATATTATAGGTTTCCATAGATTTACAAGGATTTTTTTGGTGTTGAAATAAATAATATCCTTAATTTAAGAAGGATTTTTTTTGGTATTGCGTGTCATCTTTTTCATTTGGTTTTTGGTATGTTAAAGACAAAACATAATATATTAATGATACGATTCTTACGTTTACATCAGTCAAATACGATTCTAAACAATGATATTCTTAATGTAGCTTTGTTGACTTAATATATGGGACCCATCTCCACCTTTGCGTTACGGAGGGTGAAGGGTTTAACTGCTACAACTTTTTCACAGTAATATATGTTTAACACTAGCTGTTTACAGCTAAGTTATACGGAGTCAACTAAGTTATCGTCGTTCAATTCTTATCGTGGACTCCCAAAAGCTTTTATTCACACTTCTGTCCAACCCACTGGCTTCGTAACACAACAATCAAACATTGTATACGCCATCATACATCTTAACAATTAAGATGGATTGAACAAGAAAAAGGTTTTGAGATATGGCAGAGTTTACAGTGAACTTTGCTATAGAAACCTTGGGTTCCTTGCTTCTCCAAGAAACCAAGTTGTTGACAAGTGTAAAGAAAGAAGTCGAAAGCATTAAAAGAGAATTGGAGTTCATCAGACCTTTCCTCAGGGATGCAGATACAAGGGCAGCAGCCGAAGAAGAAGCAGAAAGCAACGGAGGTGTCGTAAGTATTTGGGTAAAACAAGTAAGGGAAGAAGCTTATCACATTGAAGACGTCATAGATGAGTACATACTTAATGAGGCAAAGCATCATGAACATAGAGACAAAGGTCTCACTGGTTTCCTTCGAAAAATGAGTTGCTTCATCAATGAACTTAAGGTGCGTCATGGAATTTCATCTGAGATTAAAGATATCAAATCATCACTTGTTGATATACAGAGAAGAGCAGAACACTATAACTTAAGGCACATAGATCAAGGAGATGTTGTACCGCATGACTCTCGAGTTGGTTCCTTTTTCATCCAAGGTGATGAAGTTGTGGGCAGCGATTCTACTAGAGACCAATTGATTGGTTTGTTGGTAAATGGAAGATCCAACCGTTCAGTGGTTGCAGTTGTAGGCGAAGGAGGACTTGGCAAGACCACTCTTGCCGGGATAATTTATAAGAATGATACAGTGAAGAAGCATTTCGATTGCCAAGCTTGGATCACGGTTGGGAAAGAATGCACCAAAATGGATATACTAAGAAAAACTATACAAGAATTTGAGGGTATAACAGGGTCTACTCATGGAGAGATGGACAAAATGGGAGAGAATGATTTGCTCGCCACACTAGAGAGACAATTAAAAGAAGTGTTACATGGTTGTGTTCGATGATGTGTGGAAAACAGATTTTTGGGGATATATAGAGTATGCTTTAATTGAGAACAACAAAAGTAGTAGGATTATGCTCACAGCCAGAAATAAGGGCATTGTTGATCTGATTCCTTTTGTTAATGTCCATAGGCTACAACCCTTGTCTCCAGATAAGGCGTTTGAACTTTTTTGTAGAAAGGCTTTTGGTCCTCAAGAATGTTGTCCCCTCGAGTTGGAGAAATTGTCTTGTGACATCCTTCGGAAATGTGGAGGTCTACCACTAGCAATTGTTGCCGTAGGCGGTCTTCTCTCAAACAAGAACAAGGTTGCTTTTGAATGGAAACAGGTACTTGATGACTTGGGGTCACAATTTAGAAGCGATTCTCATCTAAAAGATTGCAACAAAGTTTTATTAGAAGGTTATCATGGTCTACCTCACCATCTCAGATCTTGTCTCTTGTATTTTGGTTTTCTTCCAGAAAGCTACTCAATCAATTGTGCAAGATTGATTCGCCTATGGATTGCTGAAGGCTTTGTCCCTCATTCCAAACGTCTCACATCTGAACAAGTTGCTGAAGAATTCTTGATTGATCTCATTAATAGAAGCTTGGTTCAAGTGGTAGAGATGGATTTCTTGGGAAGACCTAGATACTGTCGAGTCCATGATCTGATGTATGAGATTATCCTTAGAAAGACCGAATATTTGGGCTTCTCTCATTTTGTGAATAGAGAACACTTAAATCTCTCTAGCAAAATCAGGCGCATTTCAATACAAGGAAGCGCTGATAGTGTTCTTGAGAGCATCAAGGACTCAAAGATACGTTCTGTTTCTCTTTTCAATATTGATAGGATGCCTAACTCTTTCATGACGACACTTGTGGATTTCAAACTTATAAAAGTACTTGATTTTGAAGATAGTCCTATAGAGTATCTTCCTGAAGGAGTGGGAAACCTCTTCCATCTGCAATACTTAAGCGTGAAAAATACAAAAGTAAATGTACTTCCCAAGTCCATTGGTAAGCTTCTCAACTTGGAGACATTGAATTTGAAGCAATCTCACGTGAGTATGCTCCCAATTGAAATCAAGAATCTGAAAAAATTGCGCTATCTAGCGGCATACAGTTTGGGCGAGCATGGTACTTATGGAAGAGCAGTGAAAATACCCAAGGGATTAGGGTCTTTAATTGATCTTCTGAAACTATTTTTTGTGGAAGCTAACACATATGAGAAAGTTAGGAGTTTGGCTGAAAAATGGAAATGGAAATGATCTTTGTGCATGCATTGCAAATATGGGAAAACTTGAATCTTTGGTTGTACAGTCGACAAGTAGAGACGAGGTTCTTGACATAGAATCCATGGCTTCTCCTTCTCATGGTCTTCAACGCCTCTACTTCAAAGGAAATATGAAGAAGCTACCAAATTGGATTTTTAAACTTGAATATCTTGTTAGAATTGGTTTGGATTTGTCAGGATTAACTGATGATCCCATAAAAGTCCTTCAAGCCCTACCTAACATATTGGAGCTTAGGCTACACAACACATGCCATGATGAGCAATTACATTTCAAAGAAGGTTGGTTCCCAAAACTAAAAGTTTTGTTCCTCTTTGACTTTAAAGGGGTGGAGTTGATGATTATAGAGCAAGGTGCAATGTGTAACCTTGAAAACTTACATATTGGACCATGCCCTCGATTGAAAGAGATTCCAATTGGAATTGAGCATCTAAGAAACCTAAAGATTCTTTTGTTTATTCTTATGTTGAAAGAAATTTATTATATGATAAAAGATGAGAAATGGAAAAAAGTTACTCAACATATACCCGAAGTCCTTGTCACTTTTGAAAAGGAAGGAAAACTATCTTATCACACTATTAAGCATCTCTCATCTGTCTTGCCTGTGGATTTTGAGCAATTGATTGCAAAAGTGGAGCAAAGTAACGAGTCATCTCATTCGTCAACAACAGGTATTCCATTTAAATTGTATAAGCCTTAGAGTGATCTTGATTTTATATCTTTTGTCCAACTATAAAAGGAAAAATCCTATAATTTTTCATGGCAAATGAGCCAATGATTTAGGGTGTGTTTTGACTTTTCACTTAATATAAAAGTATAATTTTGTAATTTACTTCTAAAATGTGAAATTATATACATACATACATATATATATATATATATATATATATATATATGCACAAGTCTAACTATCATAATAAATGTAAATGTAAATAAAAATATTCTTATAATTTTTTTATTTAAAACATTTTGTTTTAAATAACCTTAGCTAATTGATTAAGTTTTGGTTGCCGGAATCCAATACCGACAGTCGCGGTTCCGGTCGCCATTTTTTTCTTTTTGTGGCAATATTAGGTAACGATGTTGGTATGAAAATAATTCAATTTTAAAGATCTATCTATATCTACAATTATTTTTAGCAATATATGCAATCAAAACAAGTCCCCTATTTTACCCTGTTTCCCTAGAAACCATACTTTGTGTTGGTTTAAGTTCATGGAGTTTTGGCCTGGTAGGCTTCTTCTCTCCTGGAAGTTTTACAGGATTTCTGCTAATTGATTTGATAGATCATTGCATGGCTCTTTAGGTGAAATTCTTTTAGTATCGATTGATTTGTAGGTGAACAGTTTGTAGAAAGAAACTTTATTAATGAACAAAATTTCATGTTCCAATCAATCTCATGGGCAATTAGGCAATCACATTAACATTTCCTCGAGTTAATCATCAATGTACATTGATTACTTCCTTATGCAGTGTTCAAAATATGAAATTCCAGGATAAGATTTATATAGGATGCATGTTCTCTGCTTTACTCCTCTATAACTTTAATTTTTTTTAGATTTTTTTTATTCATAGACTAGACTNATAAAAATATTAAAAGAACTCTAATAATCTATTTTATTTAGAACAATTTTTTTTAACTGAAAACCCAGCCCAGAATCTTACTTGAGTCAATGAGTATGGACTGCATTGCTGTTCTTAACCAGATAAGAAACGATCTTAAAGCCAATTTAGAAATGTTATTTTATCTTATAAAGATTGAAAACTGGTTGATGAAGTTACTGATCACAACACTGTCGATACCATTAAGATCAACGACAATGTTTGATGGTGACTTTAACTATGTGCATAAATATATAATTATAAATTAAACATGAATTACGGATAATTTTTACGGATTACCTTTTCATTACTTAAATTTGATTATATTTCATCTATTGCTATGAACAGAGATCAAACAACTGCGGACACGTTGAAGAATCTTTCCCATTTGTTGACCTGATGAAGTGAAGAAATGAGAGCTGTTGAGTTTGAGTTTAGAGTTCAAAAATCAGTTGAGTTTGGTAACGTTTTGATGGACCGGTGGTGTCTCAACAATGCAAAAAAGGAAGGGGCAGAAAAGGGAATTACTGAAAGCAGCAGGTGGCAGAGTTAGTTACAAAGAATCTGAGTGTGTCAGTAATAAAATGAGAGACGTGAGGTGTAGACTGTAGAGGGTATTCTGATTAGTGTCTGGAGGTACTGGCCCTCGAAGTCCAGCTGTTATGTTGCATTTGGGGTCTGTTGTTATTTGCTTATTTTGCTTGTTGAACTACTGTTCTATTGAATATTAATACCATCTGTTATTTTCTTCTGAGATTGTTCCATTTTTATTCTTGTTGTTGCTTGGTTGTTGAGTTAATGGGTTATTGTGCATGCTGAGTTGCTGAGTGTGAGTGAAAGAAGGTGAGTTTGGGTTATTTACAGACGGCAGTATCCATCACGTTATAATCCAACAGAAGTCCAGGGTTCCCTTATGCACTCCATTAGTTTGGTACTTGAAGTGCTATGTTTTGATACTTGGAGTGTTATTTGAAGCAGTGCGTTTTGATTATTGAACTGAACTTTGCACCCTAAGTGTTGGAGAATGTCAGGCATTAGGATGACGAATGGAAATGAGAAGGATCTGTGAGCTTGCCTTGCTACTATGGAAAAACCTGAGTCCTTGGCTGTACAATTACAAATAGAGATGAAATTCTGGACATAGAAGCTACCAGACTGGACTTTCAATTGACAGAGATTCCAATTGGAATTGAGCTTCTAAGAAACCTTTAAGATTCTTGTGAATGGTGTTGCATTGCATTGGTTCAGCTTCGTCATATTGTTCTATTTTCTGGAAAATGCTGGTAGAGATGCCGTGTTGCTGCAGGCACAATGTTCATCAACTTTCTAGTAAAATTCCTTCGTAATTTCTACTGAGTTTGTTATCGTTGCTGATGTTATTGTGATAGTCTTCGTGTTTGTTAACTTCTATCAACTGTGTTGCTCAAAACATATTAAAGTCTTTTCTTTTTCTTGGATTGTTTAGTACTTTCAATACATGCTTATTGATGGCTACTTCCGTTGGAAGTTGAAGAAAGTATAAGCATTTTTGAGAATATAGTTTCCATGGATTTGGTTAGTTTTTTTTCTATGAACCTGCATATATACGTCAAATAGTTTTATAACTAATTAAACTTCAAAATGAATTTGTTCTATAAGGGTGATTTCCCACACGTTACTATCAATATATCCTATTCATGAAGCACTGGTATATGATCCATACCCAGATAGCTTTTGTACAGTTTTGTAATCAACAGTAATTCACTAATATTGAGCTCGAATTAGCATCCTAAGCTTATTTGGTCCTTACGGAGTTGCAGAAGCTACTTCAGGTGCATGCAAATTCTGAAGTGCTTAATGAGCTTAGGATGCTAAAGCAGTTGAGAAAGTAGGGCATTAGGCTCGGATATAGAGATGTGAAGGTATCTATTTTCTATTGTCGAGAATATGGAAAACCTTGAACGGTTGAGTATATTAGTGTAGACAAGTGGTAAAAGTTTTTGTTCGTTGAGGATCCGTTAAGCTTACTGATGGCCACAGAATTGAACTTTACCCTCTTACAGTTTCTTCTGTCCAGCCCTTGGTACTGATATTTTGTTAAACATCAATCAAACCATGCACATTTGAGATGTACTTTGGATGAAGTAGTTGATAATTTCAAACCTTCATTCTCCATGCTGAAACTGAAACTTCGTCCAGTAAAGTAGACACCTTTTGGGGAAAGCTTTGCCACCAAAAAACAGGGTACCCTGTTTTCCTCTGTTCTGTTTTCACAAANCCGCCTTATAGACGGTCCGGGTTGAACCCCCTTTAATGCGAGCCGGGTTAGAGTTGACCTGCCTAACCCGGCCCATTTGTTCCACCTCTACCGTTGAGGGTCGGGGCTGAGGTTGGTGGGCATGGATGGTAAGGTTATTAAAGTCATTTACCTTCATACAGTGGGTTGATAGTTGGTAATACCCATATCATAGGGTGTTTATGTGATTTTGGTAAACCTCAGGGTGTTTAAGTAATTGTCCCTTCTTTTGATTACCAATTCATTTATGGAGAGTCTGCTTTTCTACAAATGATTGCATAGTTGACAATGTAATTGAACATAATACTAGTAAACAAATTGTGAGTTTGATAATTTTATTATGCTAGTAGAATAATATGAGCAATTACAACTTATAAGTTGTCCCATTACATCCTTTTAAAATGTGGAGGATTACTGGTAGCCGTTGTTGCGGTAGTTGGTCTTCTCTCAAACAAGAAGAACGTAGCATATGAATGAAAAATTTCACTGAATAGTGTGAACTCAAAGTCAGAAATGGGCAACACAGTTTTATCTGAAAGTTATTATGATCTACCTCACCATCTCAAGTCATGTTTCATGTGTTTTGTTTTGTTTCCAGCAGGTTATTCGACACTAGTTCACCAATGGATAGCTGAGGGCTTTGTTCCATACTATAAACGCCACCCATCTGAACACATTGCAAAGAATTCTTAGATAATTATAAACGTTTCATTTCTTAAAATTTAACTAATAGCACTGTATTCTTGAAATGATTGCCATGAACAGATGAAGTATCTACAGTCGTGCAAATAAACTAATGGGTCATCTTCTGAATTCCTCAATTAGAAATCCAATGGCCATTTCTTGTTCCCGGGGTTATAGTTGTGTTTGTTAATTCATATCCACTATGTTGTTCATTGAATTCTTTTCTTTCTTTTGGGTTTCTATAGTACTTCTGTTTTACTCTATCCGCATAGAGAGCTTTTTATTTGTACATATTCCCTGAGGAATCATGCATTTGAGAAAGATAAAACTCACATAATGTTCTCCAGAGCAATTCAAATGAAAGAGTGAGCATCAGGCAAGGCACAAAATGAACTCAAAATTAAGATAGTGTTTG